CCTAAAAGAGAAACGAAGAAGATTATTGCAAATTTAACCAATGCACAAAAACAGAAATAATTTTTTTTCTTCAAAAAAAAAGGAAGAATGGAAGATAGGAAATACTGACAAGGGAAGAGGAATTCAAAAGGGCACACCTTAAAAAGAAAGGAAGGAAGGAAAAGAAAAGTAAAAACAACAGTTTAAGAGAACACCTGTTTCCAAGACAATTCTTGCTCCCATTGTGGAATGCAAATTTGGTTAATGGGTTAAGGATCAGATCCCTAAACTGCTTAAGTTTTAAAAGAAATCATGTGATCCATCTGCCTTTTTTTTTGTAATGCAATGTTTCCCCTAACACTGTCCAGCACTTTCTTGAGTACTAATAACTAACTATGAGGTGGGCTTGACAAAATCTGAAATGTTTCTTCCACTTAAGAAATAAAAACACCGTGTAATAAAAATAGTAGTTGCAGAGGTAGTGATATATACACACACATACACAGAGCCATAATCATATGGATCCTTGCTTGTGTGGAAAGTCACGGAGCTGCTGCATTAGTCAAATCCTACGCATTCTCTTTGAATTATGAGACGTGCTGTCACAGTATTTGTGAAGCAGCTGGCGTCCTTCAAAGGGAATGTGCCGATTCGCTCTCGTAAGAGATCTGTGAAGATCGGCGGTTCCCAACCTTGGGTCCCCAGATGTTCTTGGACTACGACTCCCAAAAACCTTGCAGCACAGCTGGTGGTGAAGGCTTCTGGGCATTGCAGTCCAAGAACATCTGGAGGCCCAAGGTTGGGGGTCACTGGTGTAAATCCTTGGTATTCATGCCAGGGAGGTTTGGATAGGAGCCTTTCTGTTTTCTAGATTCTCTGCCACATTTTCTAAAGCTCTTCCGCAATGCACTTTGAACGAGGGGACCAAGCTCCAAGACTCATGTCCAAAAATTGAACCATGCACTGCGGAGTGGGTCTCAGAGCTTTGGAGTTACCCTGGGTTTTTTTTTTTTTCAGAAGAAGCCATGGATTGCCTGCATGCTGGCTCTCTATTCATCTCTCTCTCTCTCTCTCTCTCTCTCCCCATTAGAGCGACAGTGTAAAATTATGTAGCACCCTCTTTCTGTTTTTACTACTTTGAAAAATCAAGATACCAATTTTGGCATTTGGGTCTATTATCACCTGGCGAGTCTTACCTATAACATCACCTACTGTTCTGATCATCTCCAGCAAATAAGGAGAAACTGTAACTGCGTTATATTTTAAGCCTCTCCGTCTTAACTATCTACGGACAGATAGTTGCCAATAATCTTTTCCCCTTTGCAAATCGTAGAAACACTTCAAACAGGTTGCAGGGGGAAAAAATATAAAACATTGCTTGGAATAAGCTTGCTCTTTCTGCAGCGAAATACATGTAAAAATGTAAAGCTAACATTTCTTAAATTATTTTTTTTTAAAAAAATCGTGATCCAACTCAACTTGACATTTAAGGAGGCTGCTTAATCATTACGGATTAGCTCTTATCTCTTGCTAGCAAGCAGGTTTCTCATCTTATACACTCGGTGATTTATTACATCAAGAAACTTAGGAACTGCCCAAAGCTTCCCCTTCTGGTGGAGAAGTGTCATGCGTTATAACAAACCATGCTGGCAGGTTTTCCACACTGTTGGTTGAACAAACAGCAAACCGTACACAGCGGTCTAAACAATTACAACACCAAAAATAATAAGAATAGAAGAAGAAATTAAAAAAGAAAAAGAAAACACTCATCCAGGACCCTTTTTCAGTTGTGACCAAACAAAAGGAAAAAAAATGCATTTTACTTTTGAATCAGGATTTTTTTTCTCTCTCTCTCCTGCAAAAAACAGGCCCCCTTCCCCCCCCCAAATAAACAATGGGTTTTTTCCAGCGTTATTGTACTACGAAACCTTAGAAATTCTGATAAGGCACGTTAGAAGCCACTGGTTTTATTTTCTAGCTGGCTTTGCAATATAGCTATTTTCTTTGGCAAAACTCCTGTGATTAACGCTTTGGATTTTTTGAGAGGGATTAGAATCTCTGAAGGAAGAACGAAAGAAAAAGCAATTGAAAAAGGCCCCCAATTTTCTATATTTTTTTTAAAAAAAAAAACATAAGATTTTTAGAGTGCAAAAAAGACCAATCACACATTTCTCCCTGTTTTTTGTGTTGGTTTTTTTTTTGAGTTTGGTTTGGTTGGAAATTATTCGTACATTTTATTCACGACCCCCACGTTTTCCTAAAGAATTAGGAATTCATGTTTTTTTCCCTTTCCGTGTGATATCTAAAAAAAGTATAAACCGCTGAACGAGAAATTAAACGACAAAGAAACCACTGCAAGCACTAAAGAAAACAAACAAACAATAGTAAAAAAAAAAAAGATAAACATGAGCACAGCAATAAAAACTGTGGCAGCACAAAAGTCAAGAAAGGCACATGTGATCATGACTGGCCAATCATCAACCGATACAACATCGAAGAAAAAAAAATGCTTCAATCACGGCACCTGCACGAAACTTGACGGCATGTCATGCAACCATTTCTTAGCTTTCGTTACATGGCGCCATCATGTCACACTTCCAACTTTGAGTTGATTTTTAACTTACGGACTGGGGGACTGTATTCTCCACTTTCCTGTTATTACGTGAACCTTTTTCCTAGCTCAGCGCGAGACTGTGGTGGATTTGACTGGCTCTTGGTTGGTTTTGTTGGAATTTGATTGAATGACAAAAGAAGAAAAGATTTATATATATATATATATTTGTATTTATATATAGTTTGGAAAAAAAGGGGGGTGGGGAAGGAAGATACGGATCAAAAAAACGGAAGAGAAAACAAAATCCAAAATAAAACAAAACCAACGAAACCGATAATCAAGCACCAAACACAGCAAGCTCTAATGAACACACAATTGGACAAGAGAATTAAAAAGGAATCAGGAAATCAGGAAACGGAAAGAATCAGGAAACGGAAACAAAAATAAATAAATAAATCAAAAGGAATGGAGGAAGCCTAGCAGGAGACACACCGACATATTCACACACAGTTCATGTGGACACATAATAAACAGTGACCATTAACAGAACAATATGTCGTGGCGGCTGAGAGAAGCATGCGTTGGATGGATGACAGCGGACGCTGACTTGAAAAATATATTGGCGGCCAACCATCCCTTCATCCCTTCTGGTTTCGAAACAGTCCTTTCCTAGCAGTGCCCACCTGCACAGGCCTAAACCGGATGGGATACTTCTATTTGTGCACGTGCAGCTGGTTTTAGACCTCAGCCATGTTTTCTCCGAAAGTGCCTTGGATTGATTTTAGAACCGAAGCCACATTCGCCCAAGAGTTGCAAAGCAAGGAAAAGGAATGGGAGACCGGTTGTGACGAGTTGGGGACACCCGCCTCGCACGCTTTGTCTCTCAGAAGGTTGCGTTAATTCCACGGAGAGGTCCCGCTACTGAAAAGAAGTTAGGCTGTTAGCTCAGCTAGTTTCAAGGAGCTTCCTCCAGTTTACCTTAACTTCATTTCTTAATCCTGGATCACGTCCTCCTCCAAGTTGACTCTGAGGTGTTTTCCTGAGAACCTAAGCAATCTGCCATGAGGCTTCCTGAATCCCAAGCCTGGCAGTTTCTATGAGGCACCTCAGAATCAAGATATGCCCTATGTTTCTGGTCACAAGCTGTCTCTAGGTGTGAACGTGTGGTCCCGGGAAATTACGTATGTCACTGCGGGCACCGGGAACTTCGTAATCGGGGGCTTCCATACCTGCCATCTGATTGTTTTGGTGCAACCAAATCCTCTGGAACAATTTTAAAGAACTGAAGCAGACCCCTGTGATCCTGTATAATGATCCGGATAGGCCCCCAAAGAGTCAGCCATGGAGAGACAGGAGTTGAGTGTCTTGCAGGGCAGCCCCAAAGGACTTATCTTCCTTTTTAAAAAACACCATGCGCCGATCTGCAATACCTTTTCTCCCATCCCCACATGCTCTACCATCATGACTGCGAAGACTGTAGTCTTAAGGAGGGAATGATTCTCTCACAATTCCTCCGCTCCCGCGACTGAAAACTGAAAAGATGAATTCACGCATTGTACGCATCCACCATGTAACTATGATCCTTATTAAAAAGAATGCATTCCATACCACATCTCCATCACGTAAGAGAGGTTCCCGTGTGGAAACAACAAGCAGGTAGAAAAACAGTCCAAATTGTGTGTGTATGTGTGGGGGAGCTGGTCTGGTTTACTAAACTGTAGATCGTTAAGACCAACCCATTCACTGTGGCTTGTATACGTTTCCGTAGAATAGAACCCAATTGTCAGATGCATGGAATTGAAATGAATGAGTACAGATGAAAAAACAAACAAACCCATGTTTGTTTCATGGTAAATGCACAGGAAACCAGCCAATATGCCTCAATCCTATGCATGGAAATTCTGGATTCCCTTCCAGCAGTGTTTTCTGATTCTACTGCTCTACAGTGTATCCTGGTTACAGCAAGACAGATGAAAAGGGGAATCTTCGCTGGATGGGCATAGAAAGAGAAATTCTCACACCTGGAGTATTGAACTCTCGGTACAACTGGAAGGAAACCACAGCATGACAGAGGGTGGGGAGAAGATGTTGAATGACTGACAGCCCTTTGATTGACATGATGGGGAGAGACGTTCTAAGCTGCACCACCACGAGTGGATTTACAAAACCTACTACCTCTGACTTGAGTTTGCAGCCGCCATTTTGAAATTGGCTTTTAACAAAGCAATCTGGCACCCACATCTGACTGATTTTTGGACATTGGTGTGTTTTTTTTAACCTGCACTACCCAAAGCTTTGATGAAGACCTGTACAGCAGTGGTCTCCAACCTTGGGTCTCCAGATGTTCTTGGACTTCAACTCCCAGAAATCCTGGCCAGCAGAGGTGGTGGTGAAGGCTTCTGGGAGTTGTAGTCCAAGAACATCTGGAGGCCCAAGGTAGGGGACCACGGCTGTATAGAATCAAAAACCATCTTATGTTTCTGATTTTTGTGGGTTTTTTTAGTGGTCTAACAAAATTATAAGCTGTGATCTTATAATTTTGGACTGTGAGCAAGGAACACGTGGCTATTTCCCCTCTCTCTCCCTTCTCCCCAGAATCAAAAACCATCTTATCTTTCTGATTTTTTTTTTAGCGGTCTAACAAAATTATAAGCTGTGATCTTTTAATTTTGGACTGTGAGCAAGGAACACATGGCTATTTCCCCTCTCTCTCCCTTCTCCCTTTTACATAGGCCTTTGTGCCACCTTACAGAAGCAGGATCTTTTCTGTGCAGGAAAAAAAAATCTGTGGCTCCCAAAACTCAATGACGGTCATGTACGCTGAAAAATCTGTCTGGCAGAATGGTTTGTGTTTCATTCTCAAAGTACAAATGATAGACATCCCAATTCTGAGGCTTGGAAGTGGGCATGGAGTGCTTGCTTAGTCGTAATGGTGAGCAGCTGGGCTTCCAGCTTCTTCAGAGTCTGAAATTGGGAGATGAAATCCTGTCTTGCTACCTCTGGCAGCAGAACAGAATTATTGTGGCCCTGTACAAGACCCTCCCCACCTCAGATTGAGCGTGACGTGGTAGGGTGGTGGTAAGGCCTGATCTCTGGCATTCCAACCACCTTACCAGTATGGAATGGGAATAACCAGTATTGCTGGCCACTCCCTTTGGTGTGGTGGAACACCTCGCTCGTCTTTGCTCTCTTCTAAAGTCGTCGCTCATTGGCAAAGAAAAGAAGTCTCTCTTACATCAAAGGAAAAAAAAAGCATACTAATAAGGTTGACTTACTCTTCCCTCCAGTTGGGTCACATCTTTTCAGTGCTTTACTTTCAGCAATATTTATCGTACTGGGCTGCCCACATGAAGACTTAGAGGGATTTTTTTTTGCCTTCTGAGATCATACCCTTAAATTTTTGTGAGGGGCTGAACGTTTGTAATGGCATTGATGTAGCTATACTGGCCACAAAGGGGCATTTCTACTCCGAAGGCTGAAGTTATACCTTTACTATTTACCCACACTCTCACATCACCCATACACAAGCGCTCAGAAGAGTCCATTTGGCAGCTACCATTTTTGTGAGGTAAGACCTATGCTTCAGTGACACCCCTCCCCTCCCGTCCTGACCAAAGTCAACTTAAAACCGAGACCAATTTTCAATAGCTCCAAGTCAAGCCTGGTTGTGCGGAAAGAAGCGAACTCTAATCTTTCAACACTCAATTAGCACGTAGGGTATTTTATTATTATTTTTTGCCTGAAGCTTCAAATTACCTTCAAGGTGTACAGTGCAATTAACTAAAAATATTTCTCGACTCATTTTTAATTGCACTAAAACTAGGATGCACCTCCAGCTAGAAGCAGTAAGGTGAAAATTGGTATCCCCATATGTTTAAGATTGATTGAAGCCCAAGATCGCTCAATAAGCTTTCACAGACCTATTAATTATTAAACTTTTATTAATTTCTTTTTACATAAAAAAACCTCAGCCAAAGCCCCGCTTTGTATGATGTCTCTGAAATTTAATAATTGCATGGATTTCTTATGCTAGAAAGAAGTTTGAGCATTCGTGTGTTTATAAGTAGGTGCATCTTATTTACAGTATTTATTTTTTTTAAAAAAGTCTGGTAGATGAGCAGGATGTGAGACAAATTTTAAAAAATCAGAACAGAATTTAAAAAAACCCAGACTTTCTGCAGCTGAAGAAAATAATATTAACAGAATCTATATATATATTTTAAAAAACGCAATACAATTAAAATGAGATTATCCTATTTTTTTTTTTGCTCAAGTGAAAAGAGGCATCAGAAATTAGCCATGTCTATGGAAAGTATGCTTCACTGCCTTAGCCATGCCATGATCCAATATTTTGGGTTTATGGGCGAGGATGGATGGATTGAAGCCACAGGTTTGTGGCAAAGGACCGGCAAGTTGGGTAGGTGTAACTTGCCAGGTTAATCCCAGAGAAAGATGGTTTATCAGAAGGCATTGGGGGGATGTCACCCCATGACCTCACTTGCCAGCTACAATAGACAATACAGTTGTGCCTCGCTTAACGATTACCTTGTTAAATGATGAAACCGCTTGACGATGAAGTGTTTGTGATCGCTTTTGCGATTGCAAAACGATGTTCCTATGGGAAAAATTCGCTTAATGATGATCGGTTCCTTGCTTCGGGAACCAATTTTTCGCTAAACAACGGTTTAGAAACAGCTGATTGACAGTTCTAAAATGGCCGCCCACTGTGCAAAATGGCTCCCTGCTGTGTTTTCAGGATGGATTCCCCACTTTACAGACAGCAAAAGAGGTCGCCCCTATGGAGGATCTTCGCTGGACGGTGAATTTTCAGCCCATTGGAACACACTGAACCGGTTTCAATGCATTTCAATGGGCTTTTTCGTTTCGCAAGATGTTTTCGTAAGACAGTGATTTTTGCAGAACGAATTAACTTTTCATAAGACAACGATTTTTGCAGAACGAATTAACATCGTCTTGCGAGGCACCACTGTACTGAGTTGAACTAGGCTGCATAAACTCATTAAGTTTAAAAGGGGATCAGACAGATTCCTGGAGGAAAAGTCCATTGCAGGTGACAAGCCATGATGGGACTGCATCATCTCCTGGCTTTGAAGGAAGGTACTTCAAAATGCCACTGTATCATCTCCTGGCTTCGAAG